GGGGGGGGGGGGGGGGGGGAGGGAGAGATGTGAGGCAAGGGAGGGAGGGGAAATCCAAGAACCAATTGGTAAAGGTGCAGGAGTTCTCGAGTAGGAAAATCATCATCTTGCAGTCATTATGGTGAAGACTAGATTAAGCAAGAATCAACAATGGTAAATATAGGAGAAATTCTTGATAAAGAACAGGATATTTGCATAGTCTTATAAGTATCTGCCTATTTATTGCAAAGGAAGAAAAAATAATCATTATGATAAGGTCAAAAAATTGGGCTACACCTTGAACTTTGACAAGGTAATCAAAATTAACATCACCTATGAAGGACAAAAAGACATGGGCCTCCAGATGTAATAACCAGAGATGGACACAACAAATTCTAGGCCACATTTCAGCCAAGAATGCACAATCTCAATCTACTCACAATGAAACGTCAAACAACACAACATGAGGAACATTGTAAGGAAAAAAAAAAGCAGGAGGCGATCTGTATTCTTCAAAAATGTCATAAATTACAAAGAAATGCTATGGAAATGTTCCATATTAAAAGAAGCTAAAGCAACATGTCAACTACATATAATACCTAACCCTAACTGACCCTATACTGGTGAGGGGTAAATGCTACAAAGGACATTACCAGGTCAACCAAAAAAAAATGGAATTATGAATAGTAAATGGAATCAATGTAAATTTATGAAGTTGACAACTATACTGTAGTTATGTAAAAGAATATCCCTATTCTTCATTGAAGCATTCACAGGTGAAGAACTATAACTGATCCTCAAGTGATTCAGGAAAAATAAAGAAAAAGTACACACATACAGAGAGAGAAAAGAAAAAGGATAGGAGAACAAAGTGTTTAAATGATAAAGCAAATAGGATAAAATGTTAATAAGTAAATTTAGATAAAGAGTATACAGCTGTTTCTTGTATTATTTTATTCTTGTAACTTTTTGTAAGCTTGAAATTGGTTCCAAAAAAATTAAAAATTATATATGTATTCAACTAGCCCTGCAATACAGTAGCCACCAACTATATGAGGCTGTTGAACAGTTAAAGGCCTGTCCAAAGTCAGATGTGCTGGGACTTCCCTGATGGTCCAGGGGTTAAGAATCCGTCTTGTAATGCAGGGGACGCTGGTTAGATCCCTGGTCAGGGAATTGGGATCCCACATACCGCGGGGCAACTAAGCCCGCGCACCACGACTAATAAGCCTGCGCGCCACAACTAGAGAGAAGCACACACACTGCAACAAAGAGCCCACGCACAGCAACGAAAGATCCCATGTGCCGCAACTAACACCCGATGCAGCCAATAAATAAATAAATAAATAATTTTTTTTTAAAATAACAAAGTCAGATGTGCTGTTAGTGCAAAATACACACCAGATTTCAAAAACTTACTATAAAAAAAAACTCATCAATAATATTTAAGATATCTCAATAATTTTTCTATTGACTATATGTTCAAATATTTTAGATAGATTGGGTCAAAGGAAATATATTTTAAAAAGTAATTTCAAAAAAAAAAGTAATTTCACCTCTTTTCACTTTTTTAAAATGTGGCTACTAGAAGCTTTAAATTACATATGTGATTCCTATTTGCATTGGACTAGAGCTAGATGATCAAGAATCTCCACAATGAGGTGTCACACTATCTATAAGTTTCTCTCTCAATTTCTTTCTGCTCTAAACAGAGCTCTCTCTCTAAGTCACTTGGTTTTAAGCTACTCAAGGGTAAGGATCAGTTTTACTCACTGTTGTACCTCCAGTATCTAGCACATATCCAGTGTTATAAACATTTGTTTATTGAAAGGCAATATGCAAGCAAAGGCAGGAGGGAGGGCAGGAAGAATGAAATCATTCCCACCTCTGAGTCTTTGTTTATACTGTAACTCCTTCCTAGAATAAAAGTAACTCTCTTCCTCTCCTAATCACCTTTTCAAAACCCCATCTCTTGCCCATTTTCTCCAAGGAGACACTTCACTCTAACAGGTTCATTCTGTCTGACTGGTCCTCCTCTGTATTACTACAGCCTTCACTGTCTATATAATTTACTTTGGCACTTAATCATATAAGTTCCCTGAGAGAGAGGTCAGATCTCGTATTTTTCCCGTATCTTCCACAATGACTGGCATAGTGCTAACCATATGAGTTGAGTGGTGGAGGAAAGGGCAACAAGGTGCTAAAAAAAGGAAATGGATTGAGTTGGGAAAACTTGGCTCTAGTCTCAGCTTTGACATCTAACTGTGTTGCCTTAGATAAATCACTCAATCTCTCACTTCCTACTTCCTCATTTTTAAAATCAGAGAGACTAGTTACCCATAAAAGAAGCCTTCTATTTCCACAATTCTAGAATTAAACCCATTTTTTTCTTTAGCAATCTTATTGATATATACCAATAAAAGGAAATCTAATACACTTAAGGATCTTAGAAATAGCAAAGAAGTTTATAAACTGCCTAAAGTACTAAATGCTGATGTCTTTCCAGCCATGAAGCACTTTAAATCCCCATTTCTCTTCAAAGTCTATTAAGTAAAATAATCAATACATACATATTGGAGCTACCCCAATTTTTTTTTTTCAGATTCTTATAAGCCTCAAAGAAACACCTTTTAGTTGCTAATGGAAAAAAGAAAAAGAACCAGAAACTAAATTTTCTATAAAGTACCCTAGGACCTTATCGGTGATGTTCAAAGATGCTGAGTTACAATTGATTATAAGCACATTGTCTGTTTCTTCTTTCAAAAATGCTACTTACAGGACATTATTCAGGGACTTCCCTGGTGGCACAGTGGTTAAGAATCCGACTGCCAATGCAGGGGACAGAGGTTCAAGCCCTGGTCCAGGAAGACCCCACATGCCGCGGAGCAACTAAGCCCGTACGCCACAACTACTGAAGCCCAAGCACCCAGAGCCCGTGCTCCGCAACAAAGAGAAGCCACCGCCAATGAGAAGCCCCCGCACCACAACGAAGAGTAGCCCCCGCTCGCAGCGACTAGAGAGAAAGCCCATGCGCAGCAATGAAGACCCAACGCAGCCAAAAATAGATAAATAAATTTATTTTAAAAATATAAAAAATAAAGGACGCTATTCAGAAGAAAATTACAACAGGTAAAATGAAAAGGTCATGTGAAAACAGAATGCTAAAGGTATGCGACTTAATTTCAAAGCATGAAGACCATTTCAAACAAATCTCTAAATCAGCAAACTTAGTTTTAATCTTATATCTTATGACCTCTGCTGAGAAATAAGATTATCAGGGTGGAGTAAAATAAAATGGTTGCCATGTTACATAATTTAAAGATTCAAGTCATACTTGTTAGTAAATAGCACCTGTGGAGTTCATACTAGTAATACAAATTACAAGATTTCTTTAAGGCTTTATCCAAATACCCCTATTAAATGCTGAGCATTAACAGTGACCCATCTGTAAGAGCCAAACTCCTCCCAGGTGGCTCTAAGTCCTCTCCTGATCTGGTCTGAGCTACCTCTGCAGCCTCACCTCCCACCAATCCCTGCATATCATTTCACTCCCTAAACTTAAATGTTCACATTCCCCTTAATATTACTTGCCCCATTTTACGACTTCTTGTCTAGGCATTTGCGGTTCCCTCAGCCCAACCTGCCCTCCACTCTTCTGAGCTGCAAATATGCCCTACTCCCAGAAGCTTTTCCTGATTGCCCCAAAACCCTCCCACAAAGTGGCCCCCAGGCACTATTCATTCTTCTATTACAAAGAACTGCCATTATTTTTAAATGTCCACTTCCCCAACCAGCTGTGAGTCCTAAAAGGCGGGCCCATATCTTATTTAACTGGTTCCCAGCCCCTAGCAGATGCTTTGCATTTACTGACACTCAATATAAGGACATTGAAAAAAAGGAAGTTAAGTGGTTAACGATGAGAAACAATTCAAACTTTCCTATAAAAGAGTATATAAATTTAAGACAGTGGTCTCAACCAGGGCAATTTTGCCCCTCGGTGACATTTGGCAAAGTCTTCAGATATTTTTGGTTGTCACAAGATGGGGGAGGGGACTTGGGGGTGCTACTACATCTAGTGGGTAGAAGCCAGGGATGCTGCTCAATATCCTACAGTGCAAAGGACAGCCCCCGACAACCAAGAATTATCCAGTCACAAATACCAATAATTCCATGGTTAAAAAACTCAGTTGTCAACTGACTTATTCATGTGTGATGATTCCTTATCATACCTCAGCTATAACCAGAATAAATTCCAATTTTGTGGTTTCAGCTGAAACTTCTGTAGCCATCGATGTGTATGCACCAACACTCAAAATGATCTTTATATAATCGTAATGCTTAACAACATTAAACCAAGAGTACTGGAAAGCAGTCCATATTTCTGAAAACTAATCTACAACTACTAGAAGCTACTCTTAAGTCAGTAAACACTTTATTTATAAACTATAAAGCAAACCACAGGTGAACTAATTTTCAGCTGTGGAATTATGCGACGGAAACACAATCTGAGGCATGAGGTAATCAGTCAGGTCTGACAAGAGAAAAAATCTCTAAGTAGTGGAAGTAAATCACGCTCAGGTGTCTTTAATGTTGAACACAGGAACTGATGACCAGAGTAAAGGGCATGCCCTCGCTACTGCCAATATCAGCGCTTATCAAGATTTCAAAAAACTCTGACAAAACATTGCAAAAAATCATCAAATGTCAATACAGGGTGGAAGATACAGAAGTTAACTACTTCTCCCCCTGATATATGACCAAGTTCCACATGACTTGAACATTTCCCAAAGCTATGCAGGAGCAAGGACACTCCCTTTCTACACAGTGGATGACTCAACTGTCTTTGGTACATTCCTTGACTGCATGCTACAAGTTCACTAACTCCTCTTGCCCTTGGAACTAGTTATCCTACTCTCTCAGTAACCAACTAATGGGTTTGGCACCAACTTTTCAGTCATTTACATTTTGTTGCACCCCATCCGTCTCAAAAGGAAATTAAGGGAAAAAAAAAAAAGCTAACCAAAACAAAAAATTGAGTAACAGTGACTCCTATAGAAAAGATTTTGTTATTCTAGGAACTGATTCCTAAACAAAACACCTACAGCTTTCCAGTGCTCTAATCTTTGTATCTTCAGGCTTTTCCAGATTTGACATAGAGAGAGCACTGGCAGAAAGTAAAGGAGTGTACCGTTGGATTAAGCTGACAACGGATCTATACTTGCATGGCTCAAACAAAAAGGTACCGGGCTGGGAGGGGAAAACGCATTTTTAAATGGGGGGGTGTGTGGGGTAGGGGAGTTGCCAACAGTGAGTAATAGCTTCCTTCGCAGCTGACTTTAGCCAGTTAAGTGTCGGTACAGCGACTGGGCCAACGTTAGGCCGGGTTTCACCACATTACCCTGCAGTGCTGCCCAGATGAGATTACGAATCCGCGTGAGGCAGGTGCGTGTCGGGTAAAGTTGCGGGGCACGCCGGGCGGGGCGCTGGGGGAAGAGCCGAGCTAGCCTCCCGAGGTCTCCCACCCGGCGTGCTCCAGCCCGGCGGGCGGCTGGCCGGCCGGACCCGGGGGCACTAACTCTCCATTTTCACTGCCACTCCAGAATCTGGAAGGAACGCGCCGGCGCCACACCCTCCCGCCCGGCAGCCCGCTCGCACTGACAGCCCGCGCGGGTACGGGGCCCGGGCCTGTGAGCCGGGGGCCGCGGAGTACCCGGCCTGCTGCCCTGCCGCCGCCCCGCCCGCCCCCTGCCCCCCCGAGGCCCGCCCCCAGAGCAGACGACCGAGGCCTAATCGCCGCCTGGGCTGCGGGGCCTAAAGGAAGGGGCCGGCGCTGAAGAGGGGGCGGCCACGCCGCCGCCGCCTCTGCTACTCAGAGAGGCGGCGGCTTCCGCGGCCCCGGGCTCCGGCTCTCCCGCTCACGTGCTCCTGAAAGACGGTTTCACTCTCTTACCCTCTGCAAAATCCTCCTTAACATGGTTTAAACACCACCCGGCGCCGCCCCGGTGACTCTCCAAACCTTCTGCGGGGCCACTCAGTACTCGGGGGTACGCGGGAGGGAGGGACTGAGCCAGGAAAGGACTGGGAGGAGGTCGGGGCGAGGCTGTAGCGGCGACCGCTCGGGCTGCCCCCACTTCCCCACAGGCGGCGAGAGGGAGCGCGCGCGAGCGAGCAAAGAGGTAGCCAGCAAGCGCCCGCCCGCCCGCCTGCGGGGCCGCCCCCGTAACTGACAGCTGGGCGGACCCGCCCGCCACCGCCCCGCCCTCCCGGCCTGTCCATCCGCGGGAGGCGGGGCTGGAAGGGGCCTGGCCCGCCCCTGCGGCCAATCGGAAGCGGCGGCGGCGTGGGCGGTTGCGTGACGGACAGGCGGCAGGACGCTGGCGCCGCCGCTCCTTCCGGCGGGCCGAGGGACAACGCGGGCGCCGAGCGCACGCCTGCGCTCTGTCAGAGGACGCGCCCGCGCGCAGACAGCGTACTCTCTAGGGGAACCTGGAGGGGGTCCCTGACCGCGACGCAAGAAGGGGTCTCTGGGCGGGTACCTGCGACGGCATCTCAGATTACTCTGTAAAATATGTCACTGTGACCCCGGCCTTGGCCATTCCTGAACTGGATCCTCATTTCTGCTGGAAGCGCTTGGAAGCAAAGGAGAGAATCGCAGACACGATTAACTGGTCTGGTGGGCTTTTTTTCTCCCCTGGTCCAACCCCTGGCGCCTTTCCGTACTCCCTTCCTGCTTCTAATATCGGCCAAAGGGAAAGTAAAGAATCGGAAGAAAGGGTAGGAAGAAACTGGAATTTGAGTTGGTAAGAGAAGTTTGCGGTTGTCATCTTTGGACTATAGCAACAATAATGGACTGATGTCGCTAACATGTTGCACCATCTAAAGCCCACGCTTGGCCCATTCTCCTAGGGAATTTTAAATCCTCTTCTGACAATAGATGTATGAAGTGAATCTACCTTAATGCGTCTGTTTCATAGATTAAGAAAAAATAATGAGGTCACAGATAAACAGTGTGCCAAAACAAGGACGTGGACTTGGAAGTGGACTTGGACCTGACTTCCAGGCACGATGTTATTATTTAAACTCAAAAATCACAGCTGCGGAATCCTACCATTCTGCCAGTATTCACGAGCTAAGAGGTTCAACTTTACCCTGAGCGGGGGAAAGAGAAGCCTTTAATAATGTTTAAGTAGGAAAGGAGAGGAGGAGAATAATGCAACTAACCTTGCTGGGGGTGGGAGGGGAGGGTGGGGATCTGAAGTCTATCAAACAATGAATGGAGCGCTTATCAGAAAATCCCCACAGATCTTCTGAAAAAAATGCAGCAAATCTTATTTTCAAATTACTTAATGTAAAAGTGTTTTGTAAAATGTAAATAAAGCATTATATGATGTAATATGTTGTTTCCATCCAAAACATATCTGTTTTTTAATGTGTGTCGTGTCTGTAGTGCAGCAAAACAGTCGTGCCTACAATTCATACATTATTAATCACTATTGATGATAGTGCACTTAAGTACTTCCAGGCAAACATAGCAAAGCACACACTTTTCCACCTTTCCAGACAGAGGTACTTTATTTTCAGACAGTATGGGAAATATTTTCACTGAAGCAGAGTAATAAAACTGTGACATAATAAATATATTGAATAGATTTGGTCTCTGCCCCTGAGTGATAGGGTGATAAGAGCATCTTTTGGTGTAATGTTTGATCTACTGAGTGGTTGGGTGTCCCTAGATAGCTTTAGGGTGGGGGCTGAGTCATGATTAGAAGGTTGGAATTTTCTGGCCCACCTTCTGGAGCCAAGAGGAACTTCAAGACTTAATCCCCATTGGCCAGTGATATAATCAATCATGTCTATGTAATGGAACCTCCATAAAAACCCTAAATAACGAGGTTTGGGGAGCTTCCAGATTGAGGAACATCAAGATGCTGGGAGGAGGAAGTGTCTGGAGAGAATAGGCAAGCTTTGCACCCCTACACCCATACCTTGCCCTATGCATCTCCTCCATTTGGCTGTTCCTGAGTTGTAGCCTTTGTAATAAACTGGTAATAGTAAGTAAAGTATTTCTGTGAGCCAGTATAGCAAATTATCAAAGCTGGGGAGAGTATTGTGGGAACACCCAATTTATAGCCAGTTGGCCCAAAGTACAGGTGACAACCTGGAAGTTTCAACTGGTATCTGAAGTAGGGGGCATTCTTGGTGGGACTGAGCCTTTAGTCTGTGGGGTCTGTGCTAACTCTGGGTTGTTAGTGCCAGAACTGAATTAAATTGTAGGACTCACTGTTGGTGCGCAGGGAATTGGAGAATTGCTTGGTATGGAAAAAAACTCCACACATTTGGTGTCATAAGTCTTGTAAGTAGAGAAAGGAAGCAGTTTTTTCCCTTTAAAGTGACATTTGTTTTTATTTTTCAAAAATTAGTTTAAAGCTGCTTATTAATGTCACATGCTAAGGCCTTCTCCACTGGAATTCTCCAGTGGAATCTTTTGACTAATATAATAGACTCTCATCTACTGATTAGCTAGATGGGTTATTCAAAAATCTGTGTGCTCCCCTGCAGCTTATGATAACTCCATCATTGGAATAATATACTAGGGAACTGAAAACTCCAAGAAAATAAGCAGTGGATGAGAAATAATCATGTAAGAATATCCTTCACTAATGTAGCAGCTTCCCATACAAAACATTCCTATTTACCCATCTGGCTGCTAGTTCCTATCCATTTAACTCTTTTACATCAACATTCCATCAATTCTTTGACTCCATCATGACCTCCAGTCCATTGGCCCTTCTTAACGTTCTTACTATCGGCCATTTCCCTAGCATCCTCATTTCTGTCAAAACCCAGCTTAAAGCTATGATCCAACTTTATAGCACCGCCACCCTTTGCAAATATGCTTAACTTCAGCTCTCTCTTCCTCTGTTGTTTTTGTCTAGCAGAACCCGAACTTGACTACCCAGCTCCTCTGTGCTGTACAGGAGCTGCTGAATATCACTAGAGATACATGTATACAGCTGGAGCTGCTGGGCTCATTTTACATTAACAGCCACAGATCTCAGACACTCAACACAGTCCAGCAACAATCCTGTTATACCCTCCTCCTGTCTTCTTTTAGATCCCCAAAGTGGCTTTCACACCTATAGAACTTTCACTGTCTTACCTTGCATTTTCTTCCTAACCCACTCCAATCAAGTCTCCTTCTCATCTACGCCAATGAGACTGCTCATATTAAGATTACTAACGATGTACATGTTGTAAAGTCCAGTAATGACTTTATTATTTTTTTTTTACTTTATTTGAGTCTTGTTCACACTGAGAACAAGAGACCACTCTCTCCTTGAATTATTTTATTCTCTTGACTTCCTTGACAGTATACTTTCTGGTTTTTCTCCTCAATGACCATTCCTTCTAAAACTTGTTTGAAGACTTCTCTACCGCATATCTTAATGTTAGAGAGCCCCCCACTCTGTTCTAGGCCCCTCTTTTCGTCTATGGCACATGGCCTAGAAGTGATCTCAACCAGTCTCCTGGCTATAAATTTCACTTGTCTGCCCAAGTCCGTATCTCCAGTGCTGAACCTCCCCAGTTTTCCAGACTTGTATGACAAACCATCTACTTCATATTTCTTCTTGGATGTCTAATGAGCATCTCAAACTTAATATGACCCAAACAAAACTGTTTCATTTTTATTTTCAGAATTGCTTCTTCACCAGTTATCCTGTCTCAGTATGTCCTACCCCCAGCTACTAAGTTGTATCAAACCAGAAATCTTGACATTATCTTTGGTTTCTCTCTTTATCTCATCACATCCCCTCCCTCCATCCAATCCATCAGAAAATCCTGACATGTCTACCTCCAAAACATACCCCAAATTTGCCACTTCTTTCCATTATCACCTCAGCCCACAGCACCTTCATCTCCTGTCCAGACTATTGGAATAGTTTCCTGGTTGGTCTCTCTGCTTTTACTTTGGCTTCCCTATAACCCATTCACTACACAGCAGCCAGAAACAACTTTTAAAAATGCAAATTAAAGAATGTCACTGCCTTTCTTGATTGTAGCTCCCCATCACAATCACAATAAAATCCAAATACCTTATCCTGGCTCACACAACCTGTCCATCTGGCCCTGCCTGCTTCTCTGCCTTCCACTTATAAACACTTAGATTACTATGCCCTAGCCTCCTTGAACTTTTTTTTTTTTTTAATTTATATTTGGATGCGTTGGGTCTTCGCTGCTGTGCGTGGGCTTTCTCTGATTGTGGTCTTCGTTGCGGTGCGCAGGTTCTCATTGCGGTGGCTTCTCTTGTTGTGGAGCGTGGGCTCTACGCACGCGGGCTTCGGTAGTTGTGGCACATGGGCTCAGTAGTTGTGGCTCACGGGCTCTAGAGTGCAGGCTCAGTAGTTGTGGCGCACGGGCTTAGTTGCTCTGCAGCGTGTGGGATCTTCCAGGACCAGGGCTCGAACCTGCATCCCCTGCATTGGCAGGCAGATTCTCAACCACTGTGCCACCAGGGAAGTCCCTCCTTGAACTTTTATTCCTCAGCTGCACAAAGCTTACTCCTGCCTTTGCACCAAACAGTTCCTATTTAGGAAATGCCTTTCCCTGAGATCTTGTGATTAATTTCTTGGCATTCATAACTGCACTTTAAAAGTCATCTCCTCAGAGATAGCTTCAGGGATCACCTCATCTAAAGTGCTAAAGCGGTCTCCAGTCTATCACATTACCCATTCTAATTCTCTGCATAGCAGAGAAAACTATCATTTCTGACTTTTCTTTTTTCTCTATTCACGTCCCTCCCAACAAGAATATAAGGGTCTTGTCTCTTGTTCACTGGTGTGTCCCCAATAATTAAAACAATGCTCAACCCATGGTTAGCAATAAATATTTATTGATGAATGAATGAAGAAAGGAAGGAAGGTACTATGGCTTAAATGTTTGTGCACACCTAAAATTCATATGTTGAAATCCTACCCCAAAAGCTGACAGTATTAGTAGGTGGTGCCTTTGGGAGGTGATTAGGTCATGAGGGTGGAGCCCTCAAGAATGGGATTAGTGTTCTTATAAAAGAAACCATAAAGAACTCTCTAGTCCTTCTATGTGAGGATACAAGGGGTCTGTGACCCAGACGAGGCCCTTCACCTAATCATGCTAGCACCCTGGTCTTAGACTTCCAGCCTCCAGGACTGTGAGCAATAAATTTCTGCCACCCAGTCTGTGGAATTTTGTTATAGCAGCCTGAACTAAGACAGAAGGGTGTATAATCATTCCTATAACAGTTGCCTTACAGAGTTCCTCAAACTAAGATCTTCCTACTTGTGAAGATATAGTCCATATCTAACAATCTTGAGAGTGATCCAACATCTTTTGATCCTACTCAGCAGTCTTTTTTCTTTTGATATAATATATATGTGTGTATGTTTCTTTTTTTTTTTTTTTGTGGTATGCGGGCCTCTCACTGTTGTGGCCTCTCCCGTTGCGGAGCACAGGCTCCGGACGTGCAGGCCCAGCGGCCATGGCTCCCGGGCCCAGCCGCTCCGTGGCATGTGGGATCTTCCCGGACCGGGGCACGAACCCATGTCCCCTGCATCGGCAGGTGGACTCCCAACCACTGTGCCACCAGGGAAGCCCTGTTTCTTGACTCTTCAAAATTTTTCCAATATTTATGAGAAACAACTTATTCTCCACCTTCTGTAAATTAGAAAATTTTCTCCTTCTTAATTTCATGTGTGACCACCAAATAATTCATTTCCAGTTAGAAGCAAATCTATGAAAAATCACAACACAACAAGCAAAGTGCAGCTGATGGCTCTGTATAGGTAAAGCAAAGATAGTTTAGGGGCTCTAAGGAATACACACAGGACTACTAACCAGCTATTTGGCAGCAATTCGTTTTCATTTTTCTCAACGGAATTGTTCACTTTTAACAAATTATGTTAACATCATTGAACCAACTAATTGAAGTCTAGTATCAATTTGTGCTTCTTTCAGCCCTTGAGGGAAGGATGAGGAGGGAGGCAAAGACGAGAACTTCAAAGGAGTGGGGAGATCCATGAATTCTACAGAAGTCCCTACTGATTTTCTCCAAGTTGACTTGAGTAACTCCAAGAAAAGTATCAAGTCTCCATTGAGTTTCTTTGGAAGCAGGTTTAAGGAAGATCCAAAATAATAATTATGTTTTAAGAGCTATTAAAAATCATATACATGTATATATATGTATATGAATACACACACACATATATACATACGTATATGGCCCTGGCTAAGCCTATTGCATTCAAACCACATGTTGAGTTGGTAGAATACAAAATAGTCCATGGAATCATGTAGAGGTGGCACAACAAAAATTCCCATCTAATGTAAGTTGGTGCAGCCACTATGAAAAACAGTACG